AATGCCCACGTAACCGTTTGCCAAGCCTAGCGCACTTTGGGGTACCAACTTAATCACTTCAGGCAGGGGCAGGCCGCTTTTCAATACAAAACATGAGCTACAAAGGAAGGTGAAAACTTTGCGGCGTTTGTAAGTCGCTCTTCACAGACACCAAATGGAAGGAATACAAAGGCCGCTTTACACAGAGGAACAAGGCACCAGCAGAAGTGCCCTTACAAGCCACATTCAGCCCCTATCTGTCCATCCCACTTAATCACTTCAGGCAGGGGCAGGCCGCTTTTCAATACAAAACATGAGCTACAAAGGAAGGTGAAAACTTTGCGGCGTTTGTAAGTCGCTCTTCACAGACACCAAATGGAAGGAATACAAAGGCCGCTTTACACAGAGGAACAAGGCACCAGCAGAAGTGCCCTTACAAGCCACATTCAGCCCCTATCTGTCCATCCCCACAGCCAGCTGGACTGGGTAGAAACAGACGCAAAACCCACCTGTCCATTTGTTCTGGTCCTTGTCTCCTCCGCACTCTTGCTCTTTGGCAGGCTCTTCTGGTTCGGTTGCCGTCTCATTCAGCCCTTCCACGTCTTCAACGGACTCTTCTGAAATGTAAGAACCAAAAGGAGAAAAGACTAAAAGCAGAAGCAGAAGCAGAGGCAGAGGAGAGAGCCTGTCTGTCGTTAACGAGCGCCAAGGCAGCTCATTTTGCAATGTTTGTACATGATGTGGCTTCCAGTGGTTCCTACTCCCCACTCCCAGTGCTGCGTTGTGCGAGGAACTAAACCAACAGTGCTGGGTTGAGTTCCTCCACATTCGTAGACTAGGATTGCTTGGCTATTTTCTGTGGTGTCTTTCTGGGGGCCCTCAGAACCCGCAGTTCCATGCATGTCGCTAAAAGTCAGCTTGCGTAACACTCTTTGTCGGCACTTCTGACAAAATACTTAGGCTGTGTCTACACTGGGAAGGGTTGGTGACAAAAGTGCTGCCGACACGCAACAGTCACCAAAAGTGAAAACGGGTCAAACTGGTTTTTCTGCTTCCCGCTGTGGACATTTCTTGGCAAGTGGCTAGCTCCCCTGTCGACAGACAGAGCAAAGCACTGTGGGTAAGCATCCCACATTTCAATGTGATGGGAAGAGAGAGAGGCTCTGGGAGCTCTTGGTGCTGAGGAATGTCCAAGCAGCACAGCAGCCTCTCCAGCCCTCCCCCTGCAGCAGCAGCCTGCCTGCCGCTGGGTTCCCAGCAGGGCAAAACAGGAGCACTCCAATGATTTGCTCTTTCTTTGTTTCCCCACACGGAGCAGCTCACCTAGCTGTCAGATACTTCCTGGAGCTTTGCAAGGGGAGAGGTGCATGCCTGCAGGGCAGCAGAGATCACACAACACTGAGCACAGCCAAAAGGTCAGGAATTGTAGGATACTGGAGGAAGCCAGTTCCCTCAGCAAAACAAACAATAGAGTCCACACCGGCTCTTTGTCAACAATAAAGGGAGGGGAAAAACCGAAGTCTCTCCCAGGGATGGATGTTTTTTGTCACCAAAACTCTGTGTTTTCCCAACAAGAGTCGCACTGCAGTGTAAATGCTCTCACTGTTTTGTTGCCAAAAAGGCAGGTTTTGGCGACAAAACATGCCAGTGTAGACAAGAGGGTTTTGCTTTGTCAGCAGGAGAGTGCTTCTGCCCACAAAGCAGTGTTCACACTTTCACTTTTTTGGTTGTTCATGGGGGTGGGGTGGGGATTTAAGCACCTGTGAATGGCAAGTTATATTGATCAAACGGGAGTGTAGACACACACTTAGTCTCAAGGCTGGTGTAATTTCAACAGAACGCAAAGCCCACTGAAATGCTAGAGCTAGGAAAAGGAGTGCTGTCACCACTCTCCTGCTGTCTGTGATTGCCTGTCCTCCTTAACTGGAAAGAGTCTGTGTCTGGCGGACAGGACTTGTTCCTAGGACACACATGGCAACAATTCCAATCCTGGATGTGGCTGGATCTTTCCTGCCAACAGAGTGCCCTTTGCATAACGCACAAGAGGCCGTAAGGCTGGGGGGGAGGGGGGGAACTACTCACATCTAACCAATACTAATCACCACAGGGAAAAACACAGAGGATTATTTGCAGGAATGGCCACTTCTCTCGGCAACAGGCTGCAGCACGTCACACGGTGAAAAGAAACCCATGGTCGGCATGAAGGAGCAATGAAAGAAAAGCGAGAGCCCCAGGAGGACGCGTTCCATGTGGGGAAGGACTCTGGTCCTCCTACGCAGGTCACAACCACCGAGCAAATTCCAGCAGGATCATTTACTATCAAGCAGTGATCTCAAGGCCTACAGAGATACGTGGTACAACCCTCTCCACACACACACCATCCAAGTAGATGCAACTGCTGAAAGGGATACTGGAGGACATGGAAATACGGACACCATCTTTTCTAGGTCCAGCCACGCAGTGCCCAGCCATCTTGTATTTATTTATTCCGACTTTCAACAGGATCATAAGGATGGTCATGAAATGTCTTGAAGCAACACACTTGGTAGTTTTCTAGCCAAGTTCCTGTCCTCTACCATGATGCTTACCCGCCCCATAAATACATACAGAGCCCATCAGGCAGTACGGTGACAGGAGGGGCCATAATAGCGGGTATTCATTCACCACAGGGGAGGACTCCAGGAACCCCACATTGAATAGGAAAGAACTGGGACTTCAGCCATGCACCACTTAATCAGAAACTGCCCTCAGCCTGCAGAACCCAGCCAAGCTAGTGAGCCATGGCAAGGGTCCCAAAGAGGAGCAGTCTTGCTCAGAGAGAACAGTCTGAGGGCTCGTTTACACCACCAGCGAGGGGCAGCAAGCAGGGGAAAGCGGCAGCAGAGCAGCTGTCTGTATGGACCTGGTGATGGACATTAGCACTTCATTACTGTGCTTTGATCTAGTGCTCCCTGCCACAGCAGGGTTCACGAGAACATTGTCTGTGGCAGGCGAGGCAGGGCAGATTCACATCCCGGTTTGCAGGGAACCGAAGAGGCACGGAGAGGAGCTCTCCCCAACAGAGAGGGGACACTCGCATTCGGCTGAGCCCACAAGCAGGGACGCTCTTTTTGCATTTCTAGCGCTTCATTTCTTCCAGTCAACCAGTGACTGTCGTTAGGCTCATTCGGGGGGGATTCTACCACTGCTTGGGAAGGAGCCCCCCGGATGAGCTCACACTCCCACCTCTGGTAAACGGCGGGTTGGTCACTGGAGCCAGAGGGCCATGCGGCCTGCACACCGAAGTCACCACCAGGGAAACGAGCCACCGAGCGCCACTTCCAGGGTCGGAAGAGTCCGCCAGCTGTCTCAGACACTGGCAGAAGGGGCTTTTTAACAAGGGGTAGCAGGCACTGGGACTGGCTGGATCTGACCACCCCACACTATGAACTTTCTCCAGGTGGCGCTGATGGCCAAACACAAGGCATCTGCTTGAAGGTACTAGGTTCAATTTTCAAAAATTTCAACATGACTTAGCTCAAGTTCTACCAACTTCCAATGGAGACCCAGGCTCGTAAGCAGTGACGGTTCTTCTGAAGATAGCACCAAGGTGCTTTTGAAAATGCTACCTGTGAGGTTTTGGCCAGAAGGGGAAGCACATTGTGTCTAACGGGTGCAGTGCAAATCTCCGCTCCCACTGCTCTGCAGGTCACAGTTCTTCAGAGCCATGTGAGCTGGTGGGGCCTTGTGCTGGGAAGCCAAGACCCCAGTGTGAGATACGGGGGTGGATGGTACCCTTACACAAGGATGTTTCTTGGAGACGTGTAGCAAGTTACAACATGACACGTTACTGACACAGAAACTGTCTCCCTGTGGTCTGAGCAGCAGAGAATTTGCTGGAGGGAAGAACTGTGGATCCGTGGTTGGGAGCTGAAATTCCATCATCCCCCTCACTTCAGGGAAAGGGTCAGGAAATCAACCTCCTTGCCACTGACTAAAAGCAGCTGCCAGGCACGGTGCAGAAGGGGGCTGTTTAACGGGCGAAGGCGGGGCCATGATAAAAAGCAGGAGTTAAATAGTCAACTGGTTTTATGGGTTTCAGTAAAAATATTTGAATGTCACATTTTTGCTTTTTTTCTGTCTCTAAATCACCGTTCTCCATAGTGCCTGGTTCCGATATCCGCCGCACACAGACTAGGGCGCTTACTCCCCCAACACAGTGGCCTGTGAGCCTCCCGGCAGAAAAAAGTGCCCCTCAAAGCACCTTCCCAAGGCGGGCAAAGCAAGCCCAGCCCCATTTTGCAGAACAGAAAACAGAGGCTCTGGGGAGGCTCAAGGTTAACCGGGGCAGGTGACAGCCAGAAATAAAACCCTCCGTCTCCCAACTCCTCTGCTCCGGCCAACAATGCCCGTCGCCCTTTTTTCCGAAAGGCGCCCACGCGCAGGGCCTTGCTCAGCTGCAAGGGGGCTGCCGCTCACTCCCCAGCTACCCAGAGAGCCATCGGAGGTGCTGGAGCCTTGGCGCAGTACCACCGGTGCCCTAGTAGTGTCACTGTCTGCACAGAGAGGAAGGAAGGGTGGCCCACCGCTGGATTCAGACACTGTCTGGGCTGCCTAACCGGCGCATGTGGAAATAATATACGTCTTCAAGTGAACTGTCTGGTTCTGGGGAAATAAAATAGGACATTCATAAGCAGTTACACCATCTGTCTTTATACCATCATCATCTACAGCAAGGGGAACGAGCTCTCTAAATGGCCAAAAGCCCAGGCTGACAGTAACCGGGAAAATGTGAGCTATGAATACCAATAAAGGTAGAAAAACGACTACAAAACAAGGATACAAACTGCAGATTCCTCCCTGCTCAGCGCCCGCCCCCCCAACGGGAAGGCAGTTTGTCTGACTGGGCGGCCACATAAAAGAAAGCCACCAGACAGTAACGCGTAGTCGGAATTCACCAAGCCCCATCACTGGCAAGCCTGCTCTTCTGAGCGCCAAAGCGTGTCTGCTGCCCTGGACGAGGCAGAAGGGTAGCAGGAACGGGGAGGCTGCAGAAAGGATTTTCCTACTCACTGGACAGAATTTCCGTGAAGGCTACTGGCTCTTAAAGAGGAGCGGTGGAGGGCAGTACACCGGGGGCAGAGGGCAATACACCGGGGGGGAGGGCAATACACCGGGGGCGGAGGGCAATACACTTCCCGTCGGAAGTGCTGGGAATTGGCCAGTAGCCGAGTTCAGATAGTTGGCCTGAGTGAAGACCAGTATTTGAATCCCTTCCCAATGGCGAGGTGGCTCCTTTCAACACACCCAGATGCCAAGAGGGCCGTTCCACGAGCTTGCCCCATTTCAACCCGCTGTCTCTGAGGTCTGCATTTGCAGTGCCCAAGACTGGTCCAGCACAGCTGTTCTCGGAGAGGGAGGGGAACGCCTATTAACACCCGAGCGAGGGCTTTCACATCCTTCTACATCCACGGGCACATTGCTGAAGGAACAAGGCCAGTTGCCCATCTGACGGGCAGGAGGCTGCTCTGAAGAACGGCCTTGCTGGGTCGGACCGAAGGCCCGCCTGGCCTAGGGTCCCGTCTGCCGGCAGACGCCAATTTGGGTGCCCCAAAGGGAGTGAACAAAGCAGGGAATC